TTGAACAAATTAAAAAACACTCAACGCTGACCAAAAATGGATAGCCAATTTGACCGCTAGGGGTGAGCAGAACGTGATTGCTTTTTGTTTTTTTTTTTTGTTTTAGAAAATCAATGCTATAATAGTGTGTTCACACCGGAAAACGCCCACTTGCGAAAAAATTCTGCTCTACAAAGTCGGCAAGTGCTGCGGTGTGTAGGTGTAGTTACGGTTAGTAGTCACGCTGCACGTGTTTAAGTGCTTTGACGCGCTTCGACGAGCTTTGATACGCTTTTAATTGTCATTTAATTTAATCTATTCTACTAAATACTCGCATTTTTCATATCGAAATAGACTCAAACTGCATGCGTTGGCGTACAAGCGGGCGAATATGCTCTGGCTGGTGCAACTGAAATCTGAAGTCACAAAAGAAAAGGAAACAAGTCAAAGGCGTGAAGCGCAAGCATATTTATACTACACGCAATACATGCGCAACAAGTAAATGAAAGAAATAAATTAAATAAAAAAAACGAATGCTCAAACGAGACAAGAGTTAATAATAGGCGTTAGCGCATTAGAATTCACAAATGCCACATATATCATACGGCAACACCCGTTTGCGCTTAAGTGCTACACGTTTTTTCTTTTCTAGTTCTCCGCCACTACCAGTTGACAAATGGTAGCCGCATTTTGTTACCATTTTAGTAAAGTTGTTTATTTTTTCTTTCATAGTCATTGTTCATACATTTTTTAACTCTTTTCATCACCACTAATGAGTTCGCTTCGGGGTGTGTGCCCACATGCTGGCTTATTGAAGCGTTATACTTGTAAACACATAGATATGTATTTTCAATGCGGGTTACTACAAATTAAAAGCTTTACAGAAAAGAAATACCGAGCAATAAAAAAAAAATTTACAAAACACAAATTCGCACAATCGCATTGAATTGCAAGTAAAGCAAGCAAGCTCATGGTCATTTCTCGCGCAGAACGCTTTCGTTTTCACTTGGCAGCTATGTAGTCGCCGGCAGGCAAAAGGCGCGCAAAATCCATTTTGACATGCTTCCCGATTGGCTGGCTGATTGGTTGATTGGCAGTGAGTGGAATGGTGCGCACTAATAATGTGGCACACAATCAGATCAAGAACAACTTTGGCTCGTGGGCGGCGATGGTTGTCAAGCAAGTGAACTTTCGAGGCTTTAAGGCGATTATTGTACGCTTACATGAGATCATTTCATTAGTATTACATAAGAAATAATTTTGTAATGATATTTAATTTGGATTGATGGTAAATGTAAAGAGGAAGGAAGGAAGATCACACCAAACTATTAGCGAGTGTTTAACAGGCAGCTGAATTTTTAAAACTCACTTGAGAGTAATGAAAAGCTGATTCTTGATGTATGCCAATAAATATTTATAGCCCTGAAATTGGCTTAGGATCCACTTAGATGCATTTTAGTTGTGGTCGATCTCGCGCATCGAAGCGGACGAAGTGGGAAGAGCAATTGAAGACCTAAAACTTCACCAATGGAGTTAGCAAGCTGTGATCAACTATAAGTTTCCTATCTAACCTGACGAAACGCGATGAGAAGGTGGAAATCACAGGCTGTATTGGTGTCTCGTCAAACACGAAGAAATTCTCGAGCTATTTTAGCCGACAGTTCGAACTGCATCCTTCGGTGGATAAGGTCAAATGTCGAGTGACCAGAACCCTGTGAAACATCAGAAAACCTAAGGCATCTCTTACTTTTTAGCAGCGAAAACTTTCAAGGAGCCATCGGCAGGGCTTATACCTCCAATATTGATACTAAAACGCTTGGATGCGGCGGGAGTAGAATACTTCACTAACAGCCTCAGTTTGTCGTTGAATGCTTTAATTATTCCTGAGTAGTGGAAGTTTGGGATAAACCCTCGAAACCAGCCAACAAATGTGGGCTTTATCATTCATTAACCTTCCTCTCTCTTCATCTAGCGAAATCCCGTCAGGCTACTCCCAAACTTTACGAGCGACCTGGCTATACCTGAACAGCACTTCATAGCGACGTAAACGTTCAGATAACTTGTGGCCCTAACCTAACAACAACACTACGTGTCGAAAGCCTCCGGCATCATTTGTCCCTATAATGCTATTATGTGAGGACATTGAGACAATTTCTCTCAAACAGGGATTCAAACGCTGGACTGCGAAGTATTTGAATAGTCGACAGTCGTCGGTACTTTTTCGTGACAGATTTAAGCAGGCGTGTAGCCATGATAATTTTTAATATCTGGACGAAAGAACTGAAGCTGAAATAAGGCATCCGCACACTAATACCGGCAGTGTATAACTCGACAGCTTGTTCCCTAAGCACACACAACAGCAATTTTGAATAAAGTATCTATAGAGAGCCACAACAAAGTCCTCAAATCACACGCCGGCAGCATTTGAGGTAATTGGCCAGCAGATTCTGAATTATGCTACGCTAAATAGTTAGGCCATCGGGGACTAGTTGGATGCGGTGAACTAAGTTACAGACCTATCAACATACCGAACTCTTGGACAGCAACTGTTTTCTGATGTCGCCTGAACGCTAATTTCAAAACGAGGACTCTATGCTACAAATACCGTTGCGCTGAGCAAGAAATTTCTACTCGGCTGATATCGTAAGGAATATCCGAACAGACGTTGGCTAGAAGCAGAGCCAAGGCATATAAGGAGGTATATCTACAAACTCGCGGCCCTACATTGCACAAGCCATAAATCTGACGTTGTACTGGCAAGCCATAAGCGACATTAACTGTGAAGGAAAAAGGGGATTTCCCCCATTAAACTCACTTAATGGAATGAAATGCCTAGCATCGCCAGAAAAAAGATTAAATCAACTGGGCACCCACAATTTGTCTAGAAATATGGAAAAAAAACTTGAAATTGTGGTGAGATTTTTATGATGTTCAACTTTTCGTCTTAATTTTTTTTTTTTAATTTCGGGAAACCCTATAATTATTTTTAACTAGTTTTTTATGCTCTACTTATTTACACAAACGGGGTAATCGAGTTTCTTCAAAATTGCTACTTTCTCTGCAATTTACACTAAAAATTTTCATATAAACAAATAAAAATTCAAAAATCCGGCTTGACAAGTCTTTCTTAAATTAGTAGTGCCTATACAACAACAGCAAATAGTGTAAAGTCCACACGAAAGTGCGGGACCTGGAAATTGCTTGCAGGATAGGCAATAAATCCAAATTATTTAATTTTTAATCTACTTCAAAAAAGGAGGAAGTTACCAATTGGTCGGAATGTTTTTTTTATGTATGTTACCGCATAACTTTAGACCACGTTAACCGATTTCTTTAAATTTTTAAAGGAAAGGTGGTACTTCAGTGGTGGTCCCATACTAATTTAATTTAGATCCGATCATTGCATCACGAATAAATTAAAAGTACTCTTTAATTTTTATTTCAGAATTAAAGTCGGTTTTGTTTTTCCTAAAAATTATTTAGTTGTAATTCATCATTATTTCGTTTTATTTTTTAACGTAACTTTTTTGATAAACACAAATTTGTGTAGCAAAAAATTAGCACAAAAACAGAAATACAAAATCATTTCATTGGCCGTTGATTTTGATCAGCCAAGAACGCCTACGCCTGTGCTATGATACCATACTTATACGCTACATTTATAGCAGTAGTTAACTTTCAAACTAGTCTGCGCAGAGCACACGAAGTGCCCTTCACACCACTTGAAGCGTATTTATTAAACAATAGCTAGTAGCTACCCAGTAGGAAAAATGGAAATGAATGTATGTACTTTATTTCTAATACACAGCTAACACAGTAGTGATGTGGTTTCGAAATAGTGCCAAATAGTTTAAAATGAAACTGATCTGGAATTATAGTTACAAATCATGTTGATGAAGATCTCAACGTTCTAGTGGCAATGAACTATCACAATCGATCCTTTAGGCGTCGTTCATATGTCAGGGTTGTGTTCCATAAGCCGGATACAATATTTTATCGAATGTAATGGAGGCTGTGAAATACATCATACGTGTCACACACAGGCTACTGTGGCAAAATCTGATATTCTACTAGAAATGCGGCATGATAAAGCACAATCACTCATTAACCGACATACAGTGAGTTTCGGAAGAAAAATTAGCATATGTAGTTGTTGAGAGAACTAACGCTTGTGAGCATATTAGATTTAAAATACTCAAATTTTTTTCTTTCCTCAATTAATAACTTTATCATTTGAAATGTCAAGGGATCTCCATCTTCCCTCCAGGAATGTTTCAAAGGCCTTGAAGATAAGTGTTACTAGTTAAAGATGACTGAAAACTCTATTAACTATGGCCACAAATTTATTCGCCATTGATTGAAGGACCGTTTGAACGCAGAAATGAGGCTTAGGAGTATGTGAATTCGGTTTGTTGCTTAAACTGTAATTGTCACCGTGTAGGCTCAAAGTCAAAACAAAGGCATAAGGAATCTTGTCCCAAAATGTGGCAGAATTTTTTTTCAAAATTTTATGCAGAGATGCCAATCAATTCAGAACCAATCGATTTCCGTTCGCCGTGCTCAGTATAAAATCGATTAGCTAATTATATATCTAGCTATATAATCGGTCGATTCGCCACTTCAATAATTCATTAATCTCTTTTGTCAAACTGTCCTTCAACACAAGATTAATGCTAGCTACAGACAAATATGCACATAAATATGTACTACATACATTTCAGCTCTTAAGCAACAAAACTAGAAAAAACGTGATTTGAAAAAATCAATGAATTGCAAAAATTCTTTAATGGTTAACAATAAATAAAGTTTCACATGAACGACGCAATACTACAGTGATTTCATTTAGCTGCCATGCATATTTATGTATAGTTTTAGTTTTATAAGTATATATATTTTTTTTGAATTTCTTAATGTAGTATTTAGTTTACTGAAAAATGCTTGAAAAAAAAAAACTAGAACAAATGCGCAGGTGCTTGGCAGCTACTATAACACAGTTAGCTTGACATCGATGCAATTGAAATTGTTCTCAGCGCAAGTGACGTTTGACAACTTCCACTCGAACGTGTTTCACGCTAAATTAAAGCGTTTTAACTAAATTGCTTGTTGCTACTGTGTTAAGAATTTTTTTATATATATATTTTTTTTTTGTTTTACTAAGAAGCACAAATTTTATGAAAACAAAAAAAAAAACGCTTAACACTTATTAACTTTATTTATGTATATGCATTTAATTTTTAAGCACTTTTTCATTAGCCCACAGCTCCGCAGTTCAGAATAATTAGCAAAGACAAAGATGTGAAACTCGTTTAATTTTAATTCGCACTACTTACATATGTACTATAAAAGCAACCAGTTTCGCGTGTGAATGTGCATTGAAGCGCATTTGTATGTACAAAAGTATTTGCATATAGTATTTCTCTAACATTACATAGTCATGTGCTTGAATGGCAAGTACTAATGCTTATCTGTCTACAAGCCGATTTGTGTTGCACTGTGCGAATGCTACTTTTTTCCATCAGCACATACATACAATATTCTTTTCAATGTTTCTTAGCTGTTAGCTGCATGATTTGTTTGCACAAGTAACGACGACAAGCGTTGCGAAAATTTGCATACTTGAACTTAACATCAAATGGCATTTGCAGACTGCAGTTTGGCGGGGTAATGGCGGCGCGCGCAAGTGTTAGAGCAACTAACTAGTCCGCAATTCATTGGTAGTGGCGTGCACTTGTAAAGTTGTGGGCGTTTTTTTTTTTTTTCTGTGGAAACGGGTTCAACTACTTTTGTATGCCTTTTTGTGAAACTGCAAGATTTTTTATTTTTATTTTAAATTAGTTTAACTTGTTTCGGCGCACTCATGAATGAATAAAATGTTACTTCGCGCTTACTTTTGCAGAACTAGTAGAGCAATAATTATGACAAATTGCGTATATATATAGTGCATTTTGACTATCCATTTTTTTTTTGCAAATAAATTTTTATTATATTTTTATAATCATACAAATCCAAGTCTCAAAATTTGTATAAGAATTAAAAAAAAAAATCAACAAAGTGTCATACAAATTTCACACTTTATATTCAGAACTTTAAGAAAATTTTTGGGTATGCAGTTTAATAGAGCCCATTCAATTCTAGTATGGAAAGTGCAAGTTTAAAGTGGCTACAAACTATCGGTCATTTTTTTATTCTTTTTTCCTTTGACGGTGTTGCGCATTTTTTTTTTCATATAACGCATTTCGCAATTTATTTAATATTGGAATTGAATAGGATTAAAAAAAGGGCATACCCCAAAATTTTCAAAAAGTTCGAAATAAAAAGTGTGAAATTATAATGAAATTTCCTTGATGTTTTTAAACTTTGATTTATATAGTTTTTGTTATAAAATGAATTATATTTTTTTAAAAAGATTTAATTTAAAATAAAAATAAAAAAATATCTCAAAGTCTAAGGGCCGGTTGTTCACGCGGTGCGACTCAATATCGTCACAGATCGCTACTGCCGCAGCTGTTAGGAAGACGAGGTGAAATCATCTCATCACTTCCTTCTCAGCTGTCCGGCATTCGCTAAACTAAGGTTGAAGCACCTCGGTGCGTATTTCTTCAACTCACCCGAAAAGCTCTTCGGAGTGGACATGATAGCTTCTCTTAGTCCTAATACAGAGTATTTTCAGTTACCGTTCAAAGAACTTGTGTAATATGGTAACACAATGTACAATATAATTAATGTCTAAGTGAGTCCCTCCGTGCGTGGTCTGCCGCAACAACCTAACCTACTCTCAACAACTATTCGAGAATAAGTATCCAAAATGAACTTCAGTGAACCCCACATATTCGGACCCTATATTTTCATTTGTTTTTTATGCGTTTTTAATTCTTCTATGCAGGGACCGAAAATAACCGTTAAATTTCAATTTTTATTTTTAGATTTCGATCAAGTAGAATCGTTAAATTTAAATTTTTATTTTTTTCGGTCCAATTTAATCCGTTTTTTTTTTTAGTTTTTATTTATTTTTTATCGCTAGTTGCTGATTTTTATTTTTTCAATCAAGAATAATCGTTAAATTTAAATTTTTAGCTTTTGATCAAAAATAATCGTTATTTTCGATGTTTATTTCTTCGATAATTTCTAACCGTCACTGCGTTATTCAGAAAATTTTTTAATTGTAGTTATGATCTGATATCAAAAAATAAAAATAGAAAATACTAATTATTTTTGAACGAAGAAATAAAAATCATAAATCATCAATCAGAGTAGTCCTTCTCTTTATCGAAAAATTGTTTAAATAACGGTTTCATTTGACCAGAAAAATTAAAATTCAGTTTAGCAGTTAAATTCTGTCTTTTATTTAAATATCGTTAAAAATTCGAAAAGTTTATTTATTTTTGAAACTTCGAACTTCTAAATCAAGGATAATCGATTCAAAGTAATACTTGCTGTAAACGGTTAATTTTGCAAGAGAAAGTAGAAATTAAAATAATTTTCTTACTTTGCCAAGAAAAGTACTTTAAATATATAAAACGAAAGCATCAAAACACTTTCTGGCTCCATTCACTTTCTGCTAGTGAAAATTATAAACTTCGCGCCACCAATACATAATTAGGTATTTTTAATTTTTCATATGCACTGTCTAATTATAACCAATTTGCTACTATGCGTAGTTAGCTTTTTAACCATTTCCATCGTCCAACTCACCTGTGTAAATGGCAATTGCTCCGAATTGGCGCCACACTTGCAGACGCTCTGCTCGATGACGCGCATAGCAAAGCGGCGATGAGCCACACAAGCCTGCGACTCGCAAGCATCGCCATCATCCGAGGAAATGTGCGAGTGTACACGATGTAAGAGTAGCTCAAAACATTCGGCCGCATCGCCAAGACAGCCCAGCGGAAAGCGACGACCAGCCAGGGGACCACTGGCCAAAGCGCGACGCAAAGGTTCCGGGCATAAGGCTGGCTCTGAGCTGGTTTGTAGTTGTTGGAAAAGTTCCTGTAGAATAAAAATAAAATTGAGAAAAAACAAACGAAATTAGCAACAAATAACAATAACGATTAATTCTAGTTATAACGAGTTTTCTGTGCGGCATCGCAAATCAGTACATTCTACACATTCACAAGCGCACACATACACACCCTCGAACACTATAACACACACAAACACGGGTAGTTTTCTATTAAAAAAAAAAATAATTTCAAATTCAATTAGACATAGCAGTTTACGCTTGAACACTCACAATCACCGCATTTATGCAACGATCACGCTCGCCGTACGCTTCATTGGTCGTCAGCGAGAGTAGAGTGTCGTTGCTGCCGAAGATGTGCTCGTTGCTGTTACTTTTCTTATAGTAGTAGCTGTTGTTGTTGTTGTTGTTGTTGCTGCTGCCATTGCTATTGCTGTTAATTATATTATTCATGCTGCCACCGAACGCATACCCCCACCCAGCCAGCTCCGCCGTCGACGCCACCTTCGCCAGCGCGGACACTTTGCGGCTGCTGGCGGTTTGCCGGGTCAACGTCGCCGATTTGTAGCCATCCAACAGCGGATCGTATGCCTTGCGTGGAGAGCTGCGCGGCAAAGTGCCATTGTTGCTGATCAGCTGCGCGTGTTGCGGATGCTGGGGCTTTAGGGGCGTGCTGTTGTTGTTGGCGGCGATGGAGTTGGCAGGTGTTTGCGTATAATGTTGCTGCTGCTGCTGCTGCTGCAGTTGTTGTTGTTGAAATTGTTGCTGTTGCTGCATTTGCTGCTGGAACTGTTGCATTTGTTGTTGTTGTTGCAATTGCCTTTGTTGCATCTGCTGCTTGAATTGGTGCATTTGGTGTTGCTGCTGTTGTTGCTGCTGCTGCTGCTGCTGCTGTTGTTGTGCCACCGCACTCTGGTTTGCTCGGCCATTCTCTTTTGTTGCTTTGGTATCCTTCTGATTTTCAGCGTTGCTATTTTTAGCATTTTTACTGTTGCTATTCTGGTTGTTGTTGTTATTGTCATTATTTTTATTCGCGGTTTTCGTATCTTCCAGCGTAGTTGCTGTCGTTTTGGCCACTGTATTTGCCGGTTCTTTGCGTTTGTAGCGAAACTTAATCATTTTGCCTGATAGTCGCAGTTGCTGTTGTTGTTGTGCTTATCGTTGTCGTTGTTGTTGCCTTAAGTGATGGCGTTTCCGTTTCTGATTAGTTACCTCAAATTACCCACGTCAACATTGTTGACTTCCGTTCGCATTAGCGTCTTTCTTGCTGTTGTTGTTGTTGTCGTAGAGTCTGTAAAATGTGGCAAATAAGTTTCGCTGACGACAGAAAATTCATTGAATAAATGAGGGGATAAATGAGCAGGCCGTGGAAAAGTGTTGAGAGCTGGAGCTGAAGTCTGCAGATACACGTTTTCCCAACGAGATGTTGCCGTGTAAGAAATTTACGATTTGCGCGCGGAACTTTAATTTGATTTAATTGAATTTTATTTTTTCGTTTCATTGCTTTAATTATTGGTATTTTTTATTTAAATCTTTATCAATACCTTTGTTAAACTCTTTAAAGAAACTAAAGATAAGTTAAAATTACTTTAATATATTCAGCCTTGCAATATTTCTATTGAATCTGGACCGGCAAGTGGTGGATTTAGGCAATAGGAAGCCTTTAAAGAGTCTAGGCGCCAACAAAGCCACCTCTTTATCAGTATGTACTTTACTTACTTAAAGTCATTGTGATTATTTTCAAAGTAGTTGCCAAACTGTGTGGCTGCGTAATATCTGCTATACGAAGCAATGGGTAATGGAAAATAGGGTTGTAAATGGAAAGTCGTCCTCAAAGGGAAATCAACGATTATCTTCCATTACATAGTAAGTACTTGGTTGGCGAGATGGAAAAGGCAGATTGTCCAGCTTAAGGTAGTTACTTTTGCGCTTTCGTAGATATCGATAGGACCATTGATGACACTGCCGGATAGATGGCACCATATTTCATGAGCGCGATATTACGTGGCTCTCGGGCAACACTTCCTTGTATATTAGGGACATAAAATGATGTTAACGGGGAGGCGAACTTTCTCTTTTACTGTGGTCTATCGTGATGGACTACTTCTTGACCAAACTAGTAGAGACTTAGGGCCTGAACCGGTTTTTACACAAATATTTGATCTGAACCGAAAAGTGTAGCAAGTTTTATAAAGGTTTGATGTTCATTTCGAACACCTATTGATGGAAACATTTTACCATTCTTTCTTTTCCGAAATATGGTAATGAGAAAGACGTTTGTTTACCATCTGACAATTTTGTTTTACTAGGTACAGAATATGTCATAAATTATGTAATATTTTGTTCTCGTTTTCAATTCTCGAACCGCTGAACAGAACGGAAAATCCGATTCAAATAAAACAAAAAAGTGTTTTGACGGACCAATCCAAAGTTTGAAAGATTGTTCGAAGCGCTAAACTGAAAACTGTCTTTAGTTTAATATGGCAGGAGTTAATAATTTTTTTATTTATAATTAATTTTCGTTTTAATTTATAATTATATTCATTTATAAATAAATTTTTCATCTGAGTTTTTGCTCTATTTAAGCTCAGCATGACTCATGCCAGATCAAATTTCGTAACGAAGTCTTTCTGTTGGCACATTGTACTACAATTTCAACTTGACCCCATTTAACCTCCAAGAATATCCCACAAAGCGTAGGAAATCAGAGAAAAAAAGGCAGCGAAAAACAACAAACGCAAATCAAAGCGGAAAATATATGTAGCACAATAACAAAAACCATGATTAAATTAAAAGAAATAAAGAAAAAACAAAGAAAAAATGGCAAACTAACTGAACTTTTTGTAAGTAATGCGAAACTTGCTGCTGATTTATGAGATAAACAGACAAGTTAAGTTAACGAACCAAGAGTGGTATGTAGCAATGACTGTTGGTACGACGAATAGTTCAAATGGAGTTTTATATGTATATGTATATGTACTGATACCGATACTTATGTATGCGTGTATAGAGTACATATGCAAAAAGCGTCTAAGAAGCTGTTGGGAGTTTCCAGCTGCTTTCAATGCCAGTGACTCATGATGCAAGAGGAACTAAAGAAACAAAATTGAAATTGCCACAACGATGTGTAGCATTGAAAGCAGACGCCCCGAGAGAAAAACAAAAACAAACAAAATTTTGTAAAAACAAAAAAAAGTAGCAATATAATCTCGTACAAATTAAAAAAACTGAACTAAAGTAGGTGCCGTTTGACAAAATTTAGCTACGAGCGTAAAACTATGGGGTGCATTCGCGCTATGTAGACGATAGCAGCATTATTAGCATACGAGTTGGCACATTACACCGCACCAAAAAAAAAGAAAAAAAAATCGGCGCACGGCGCTGAGTATTAAGATATTTTTTAAAGGCAATTTTTGATTTTGGTAGGGGTCTCATTTTTATATTTTTCGCCTTATAGCGTAGAATCTTAAAGTATGATATATCGATGTTCTTGTCTTTTTTGTTCCAAAGCTCATTGACCTCAAGAACCCCCTTCAGGCACTTACCTACCAGATCTCATTTTTTATCACTCTCAAGTACCAGCCTAATGTCAGTAAATTAAAGCTCGCCAAAAATAATATAACTTTTGCTAAGGAAGTATTTCGAATCAAAGGCAATTTCGATTTTTTTTTTTGAGTCGACAATAGGAGTCGCTTTTTTACATTCTACGGTATAACTTCGGCATTTACAGTCGGATATCAAAGTATAATATATCGAAGTTTTGCCTCGAGAAGACAATATAGAAACATTTTTTTTGACCAATCGTAGGGGCTTGTGTTTCTATATTTTTCATTATTTACAGTCGGATTCTACAGTACGATACATCGATGTTGCTGTCTCTAGGAGACCCTATAGTACCACCCGAAATTAGTAAAGTAAAGCTCACCGAAAATTAAAATTTTATTAAGCAAGTACTTATTTACATTTATTTTATTCCAGTAGAACTTTTGAATTTTTTTGCCCAATTTATGTTCGAATTGCCCTACAAAAAATATGTAGCTTAGACTTAGCGGTGTACGGCGATTATTTTTTGTTTGCTTGTAAGTTGATACGGTCTAATGTATATGTGTATGTGTATAGCTAACAGCAAAGTATTATTACACAAAAGCAGATCATCACTAGCAACAACCACCAATAAGGCAGGCCATCCAGAAGGCAACCAAACTCTTAAACGTAAATTTACCCCCTGCAATGGGCAAAGGGAAGTAGGAACTTTTCAAACTCTCAATTCAAAGGAAGTGCTAAGTGTTGTCGTTTCGCTGCAAATGTGAATTTAAACGTTGCGGAAGCCTCTTAAAATGTTCTGCATACGAATTTAACACTTTGACTTTTTACGCACTGCCTGCAAGTTGGCGGGCTGGCACTGGGACGCGCTTCTAACCTATTTGAACTTTTGCTTCCATGCTGAGGTAAATATAGTACACAACGAAGTGAGGAAAGTGAAGAAGTAAAGCGGCTAAGGGATGACTTGAAAGCTATTCATTAGTAAAGTGATGTCGACCAATGTTCAATTTTCATGCCAGCGGTGCGTATAAGTTAGTGTGGTAGGTAAATACGGGTATGCTAATAGTACTTTGCCCTTGAATGCATACATATGTGTAGAAACATGCAAATTCTTATGGCCTGCCATTTGCGCCTCAATTTGGCATGTGTGTGGCAGTTTGAGCGATTGGCGCACGTGTTGTCGCTTAAGTTGGTAAGCAAATGACGTTAATGACAGAGCATTATGTGTAAAAATAAAAAAAAGCAAGTGAAGCAACAAAAAAAATTACAATAGTAAGGGTAACAGCAAGCTGACTAATTTCGCTATAATATGACAACAGCTGGGATACAAAATATGTATTATAATAATAAATATGTATACTTTTCTACATATGCGCGCATGTTCTTGATCCACTTCTCGTTCTTTCAACTTTTAGCTTTTAGTGTAATATTAGGATACCAGTTAATTGCAGCTGTTTGCAGCGACTGCATTAGCCGTAACAGCGGC